GTGAGACCTTTGTGAAGTGAGTTTTGACCCATTTTACGACCTTTCTTGCCACCGTCGCTAAGTGATTCAGTGCAGTTGTTAAGCTGGTCACACAGTCGTAAAGCGAATCTGGCTCCTGCTCGTCAGAAGGTCGCAAAAGGGGATCACGTGACCGTCGTAAACACGAGTCAGTTGCCAAACGTCAGAATTTTGATAATGCGACCCTGGGGATGTTGGAATGGTCGTAAGTGTGGAAAACGGTCATAACTCACTTTTTTCAGTGCCGTAACTGAACAGTCCTAGACTGTACAGGTGGTCCTTGACTTACAACAGTTCATTTAGTGACCATTCCAAGTTGTAACAGCACTGAAAAAGTGACTTAGCACCGTTTTTCACACTTAACGACTGTTGCAGCCTCCCCAATGGTCACGTGCTCAAAATTCAGATGCTTTTGGCAACCGACTCGTATTTTCGACGGTCGCAGCGTCCCGGGGACACGTGATCCCCTTTTGCCACCTGACAAGGAAAGCCAGATTCGCTTAGCGACCGTGTTATTACCAACTGCGGTGATTCAGTTAACAACCGTGGCAAGGCAGGTCGTAAAATGGGGCAAAATGCACTGATCTGCCTCGCTTAGCAACATAAATCCTGGGCTGAAGTGAGGTCGTAAGCCGAGGACTGCCTGTATTGTATTCTGACTGCTGGCTGCAAAATTGAGAGCGGTTTAAAAGTGGAAATTTCTAAGTCGCTTCTCGTGGAACAACTGAGGTCCTGTCTGGTCTGGCGGAAAAAGTGACGGATAAAGTCTGGATGCCGACTTCTCGGAAGGACGAATCATCTTCTTATCAGATTCTGGAAAGATGATATGAGTTGCGCTAATCGTAATCACTTTTATTGATAATTAAGGCTTGTATGCAAGCCATGATTAAATGTTGAGATATACTATTCTGGGCTGTTAACTTGTAACCATAATTGTTCATTCAGCCACCTAACAGCACTGAAAAAAAGCAACAGGGCTGGTCCTCGCACATACGACCACTGCAGCATTCCCACAGTCAGGTGACCCAAATTCTGGCAACTGGCGTGTATTTATGACAGAAACAGGAGACCAGTGGTCCTTCTGGCGCCTTCCAACTCTATCATTCATGACTGGCTAGGGGATTCTGGGAGTTGAAGTCCACACAACTTAAAATGGCTGAGGTTGGACACCTTGGCCCTACATCAGTGTTTCTCAACCTTGACAATTTTAAGGCATGTGGACTTCAACTCCCAGAATTCCACAGCCAGCATTGCTGGCTGTGGAATTCTGGGAGTTGAAGTCCACATGCCTTAAAATTGTCAAGGTTGAGAAACACTGCCCTACATAGTTCAGGATTTGAGGGGGGGGCATGGATCGATCCACCCCCTCCAAGACACACAGTGCATCTTCTTACAGCCCTCCCCCCCATTACTGAGTGCCCAGAGGACCCCTCCCTTGTGACTTTGGGCCCTCCTGAGATCATGATGGTTAATTAAGAAAAATTATAAAACTGCCAGGGACCGTGGCAGCTTACAAAAGTAAAACCTCAATACATACCCAAATAACCCCCCTCGCCCCCCGGTGACAACCCTTTGGTGGGCTAAATCTCCTCCTGGGGTCCCCAGGCCCGTTGGCAGAATCCGGATTTCAGGGCCTCTCAAAATGGTGTCAATGTGGAGGGGCTCGTCTTATATCCACAGGGATGATGTTCCACAGGAAGGGAGCCACCACGGAGAAGGCCCTTCTTCTAGGTCCCACCAGATGGACCTCCTTAAGAGAGGGGACCCCCAACATGCCCCCTGCCTCCCCGCTCGGGTGGGTCAGGTGGACGTAACCGAGAAAAGCCGGCCCTTCAAATAACCTGGCCCGAAACCAGGTAGGGCTTTGAAGGGTGACAACCATCCCCTTGAATTGGACCCGGAAGCAAATCGGCAGCCAGTGCAGCCCCTGGAAGAGAGATGATCCATCTTCAAACCTTCTTCTTGTGCCATATCCATTATCGGACGCTGGCGATCATGTTGGCGATCCTGTTTTTATCAGCAGCCGCACGAAAAAGTGCGGCTGAGTTTTGTCCAAACCGGTCCCTTAGATTTTGAAGCCACGATGTTCTTCTTCTGCCTGGACCTCGTTGGCCTTCCATCTTTCCCTGGAGGATTCAATGGAGCAGGCCGTATTTTTCTGGGTGTCGCATCACCTGTCCGAAATATTCTAATTTTCGTTTTTTAATTGTTTTGAGGATTTCCCTGGGCTTTCCCAGGCGGCTTATCCCCTCCTCGTTTCTGATCTTGTCAGCCCAGCTTCTACGTAACAGCCGCCTGTCAATCCACATTTCAAACGCACAAAACCACGCACCACATTTTGAGCCCATCAAAGTTTCCGGATGCTCTTCAAGGGCAGCCCCACGTGGAGCGTGTTGTAGTAGTCAAGACAGGAGCTGACTAGAGTGTGGGCGACTGTCAACAAGGATTGTTGGTCCGTGAACACTGTGAAGATTATTTTAGCTAAGAGGGAGGGGCGGCTGGGGTGGGAGAGCCCCCCCAAAAGACTCCATTAACCCCCATCCCCATTTTTTCTCTTGGGAAGCCCCCTTGCAGAGGGGAAAGGCATTTTTAAGGGGGGGAGAGTTTCCACCAAAATGCACAAGAGGCACCTCACCCCCTCTTTGTACCTGTGGGGAGAAACTGCCCCCTATCTGAAAAAAGGGCACCTCCCACCCCAATGGCCCCTCCCCTCGTATTGCTACCAGCAGTGAGCCACTGTGAGCAGCCAGCGCCCTCTGCTGGCCAGCAGCGGAACCTCGGATGGACAAGAAAAGAGCCGAAGTTGGTTTGAAGGAGAACCAACGAACATCTGGATAGGGATGCCATTCCTTGACCTGTTTAGCTTCTTTTGCCCAAGTTTTGTGGCTAAACCTCCTGTGGTTTCTTCTGGTTTTGGCTTGGTGTATGAACTAGATGACCTCCAAGGTCCCTTCCAACTTTATTATTATTATTATGGATCATTGCACAGTCAGCCAGATGTTCAGACTGGATTTGGCATTTTGTCTACTTATCGAGTCCTTCCCAAGGACCTGGGATAGGCAGATGTGGATGTTTGATGGTATTACAGATATCGTCGCAGGATGGAAGCAGTTATTATTATTATTATGGATCATCGCACAGTCAGCCAGATGTTCCAACTGGATTTGGCATTTTGTCTACCTATCGAGTCCAAGGACCTGGGATGGGCAGATGTGAATGTTTGATGGTATTACAGATATCGTCGCAGGATGGAAGCAGTTCCTAGTAAGGCCGCCTTTTGCAATTGACTCATGGCGAATGTGTCAATGCCGATGATGGTGTTCAAGTGGTGCTCCAGTTGTTTTGGGATTGCACCCAAGGCACCTATTACTATTGGTACTACCCTTGCTTGCCTTTGCCATAGTCTTTCTATTTCTATTATTATTATTATTATTATTATTATTATTATTATTATTATTATTATTATTATTATTAAGTCAAGCTTGCCATCAAGGCTTGTTCAGGGGACCCTGATGAATTGCAATCATAGTTTATGGGGTGTTAAGAAAACGGCATTTGTGTTCGCAAGCAGGTCCCACTGGCACCAGGAAAGTCACTGCTTTTACAAATCAAAAAAGTGTGGTGTTTTGTTTTGTTTTTGAGAAAGATTTCTTTGGGGACCAAAAACTCTTCCAAATGTCCCATGTCATGAAACTCAAGAGACAAGCTTGCTTCCCCTGGGATATTAAGCCAGGGTTTCTCAACTTTCTCACGTGTGGACGTCAACCCCCAGCTAGCCATGAATGGTAGGGTTGGAAGGGACCATAAGGATCACTTAATGCTGTGTTGCTCAACCTTGGCAACTTTAAGATGGGTGGACCTCAACTCCCAGAATTCCTCAGCCAGCCACTGGATCAAACCCAGGTCTGCCCAGCATTCAAGCCAGCTCTAAGCCTGTGTGAGACCCACCAAGCAGTTTGGAAAATGCCAGCCTGTAGAGGCCAGCTCCATGCTCCCCCCAGCTGCCCAAGCAAAATGGCCGTGGAGGATAGGGCCCAGCCTCTGGAGGTGGGGAGGGGACTTGCCCACTGCAGTGCAGGAACTGGGCACATCCCAACCCCTGTTAACACTGTTAACCACAATTCTCTAGATAGCATCCAGCTGAGGCCCACAGCAAGAGTTGTGTTGTGTTGTCAGGCATTTTGCCTGAAGATGCTAAATTGCCTTGGGTGTGGAAGTCATGAAGGCAACGGCATGCCAACACAATCACGTGATGGGGGTGTTGGTGATCCAGAAAAGAATGTACAATGGACCCAGATGTTTCCCCCACAGGTCCAACATCTAAAGTGAAATGTCTTGTCTTGTGTTTGTTCTCTCCTGCTTGAGCAGGGGCTGGACTAGAAGACCTCCAAGGTCCCTTCCAGCTATCTATTCTATTCTATTCTATTCTATTCTATTCTGCATTCTATTCCATTCCATTCCATTCCATATTTTCTATCCTATCCTATCCTATCCTATCCTATTCCATATTTTCTATTCTATTCTATTCTATTCTGTTCTCTATTTCATATTTTCTATTCTATTCTATTCTATTCTATTCTATTCTATTCTATTCTATTCTATTCTATTCTGCATTCTATTCCATTCCATTCCATATTTTCTATCCTATCCTATCCTATCCTATTCCATATTTTCTATTCTATTCTATTCTATTCTCTATTTCATATTTTCTATTCTATTCTATTCTATTCTATTCTGCATTCTATTCCATTCCATTCCATTCCATATTTTCTATCCTATCCTATCCTATTCCATATTTTCTATTCTATTCTATTCTATTCTATTCTATTCTATTCTATTCTATTCTATTCTATTCTATTCTATTCTATTCTGCATTCTGTTCTATTCTAATTCTAATTCTACTCTTCATGGAGTTGACTTCTGGTTGAGGGTATTCCTCACCTGAACAGGTAAGGGACAAAGATCCCAGAAACAATCACCAAACTGGTCATAGAAGACATTTATTCTCTTTAGGTGGCCTTCTTGTGGTCAACATCAAGGACAGCTTCCCATTCAAAGGAGAGCAGGAGATCACTAGAAGCTCCTGCAGATGTGCCTGGATGACAGCTCTTGAGGAACAGCTGCATCTCAGGGGACTCCAGCCACGGTGGGGGAGGAGGGAAGGTTCCCCCCCACCACCACCACCTTGCTGAAGTTGCCCAAAGTTCTCAGGAGCCCAGTGTCCCTGCCATCCTCAGAGCAAGCCCAGGAGGGCTGAACAGAGCAACAGAGTCAAGGCTGAGTGGAAGGCCAAGGTCTCTCCTGACGACGCGTAGTACTTGGCCACGGCTTCGTTGGGGTTGCCGTTGACAGGATCAAACCACATCTGGATGCAGCGCCCACTTCCCCGGGAAAAGTCGGTGTATTTGTAGGAGTTGCTCCAGATTTTTTCGCACAGATCTCGGGGAGTCGGGAACACTCTCTTCATCTTCTGACACATTGCGCCCAACGGACACCGGTTGACTTCTGGGATGCAAAGAAGGAAGAAGAGCTTAGGATCTCCTGCTCGAGCAAGGAGGCTGGACTAGAAGACCTCCAGGGTCCCTTCCCACCCTGTCGTTCCGTTATTCAGTGGAACGGTTCGTCTCGTGGGTGCTCCATCCCCTGGAGGTACTGAAGAGGAGACTGGACAGCCCCTGGTCTGACGTGGGGTAGGGTCTCCTGCTTGAGCAAGGGGGCTGGACTAGAAGACCTCCGAGGCCCCTTCCAACTCTGTTATTCTGTTATTCGGTGGAATCGTTTGCCTCCAGGAGTTTTGGATGCTCCATCAAGAAGAGACCGGTCAGCCGGTCAGCGTAAAGGTGTCTAACTTTAGGAACTTTAAGACTGGTGGACTTCAACGCTCTGGCTGGGGAATTCTGAGCGTTGAAGTCCACCAGTCTTAAAAGTTCCTAAAGCTGGACACCCCCTGGCCAGGATCTCCTGCCTGAGCAGGGGGTTGGACTAGAAGACCTTCAAGGCCCCTTCCAACTCTGTTATTCTGTTAAAAGTTGGGAGGTACAAGGTTTCTTAGGGAAGGGGCCAAGCAGATTCCTAGAATTTAAACCCCCTCCGTGCCAGCTAACGTTGGGAAAAGCAGCCCACCAGCCTAGAGCTGGGAAAAAGGGGGGCCCACTTCCACCGTGTGGAAGGAGCTCTTTCCACGGGATCTCCACCCCCTCCATAAACCCACTGGGTCTTCAAAATTTAGTGGCACCACTGTGTCCTCTGGGCGAAGGTCTCTGCCATATTCCTGAGCTGCCTTTCCTACGTCAACGTTAGGGGAAGGGGCTCAACCCAGCTAAGTGGCTGCTGATCCCCGTCCTTGGGGCCCGTGATGGAGGGTGGGGGTGGGGAGCAAGAACAGATGATTGAGCCCCCTGACTTTGGGTCCAGTTCCAGCCTTTGTGCCAGTTCTCCTTGCAGGTCAGGTCATCCTGGCAGTCCTCCCACCATCCCTCGCAGTCTTCCAGGCACAGCGGCACGTCCAGGATCCTCTCCTTCCGCCAGCTCTCGTCCGCCTGTGTGCAGAGGGGAACATCTGTAGCTCAGGGTTGAGGTGTGGGGGTCCTTGGTACTCTCTGAGCTGGGGGGGGATTCTTGCAGACATTTCGTGGCCCAACTAGGGAACATCATCAATGCTAGAAGGGAGCAGGATTTGAGGGAGGAGGAGGAGGAGGAGGAGGAGGAGGAGGAGGAGGAGGAGGAGGAGGAGGAGGAGGAGGACAATGATTGTGGGCTCCTTGGTGCTCTGAGCTGGGTGGTTTTTTTGCAGACGTTTCACGGCCCAACTAGGGAACCTCATCAGTGCTGGAGGAGGGAGGAGGAGGAGGGAGGAGGAGGAGAAGAGGGAGGAGGAGGAGAAGAGGGAGGAGGAGGAGAAGAGGGAGGAGGAAGGAGGAGGGAGGAGGACTGTGCTCTCTGAGCTGGGTGGTTTTCTTGCAGATGTCCCGTTACCCAAACTAGGGGACATCATAACTGCTAATCTGATGTTTCATTACCCAAACTAGCCTTGATGATGTTCCCTAGTTTGGGTAACCAAACATCTGCAAGAAAACCACCCAGCTCAGAGAGCCCTAAAGACCCCTACCCCCACACCTGTGAGCAGAAGGAAAAGTGGGGGGGGGGTCCTTCTACTTCCAAAGAGGAGAACTTCAGCTCCTCCAATTGCCTGGACTGACAGCTGCCCTAAAACCAGCTCCATCCTGTTTCTCCTAGATCTCTTGGACCCCCTCCCCCTAGAACTACGGGGGTAGGCAACCTCGGCTCTTTTATGACTCGTGGACTTCAATTCCCAGAATTCCTGAGCCAGCCATGCTGAGGGAAAAGGGAGAGGTTTCCAAGCTGAGCCATGCTGGCTCAGGAATTCTGGGAGTTGAAGTCCAGGAGTCATGAAGGGGCCAAAGTTCCTCCATACTGGCTGAGGATTCTGGGAGTTAAAGTCCACCATTCATGAAGGGGCCATAGTTCCCTCATGCTGGCTCAGGAATTCTGGGAGTTGAAGTCCGCAAGTCATGAGGGACCAAAGTTTCCCCCTTGCTGCCTCAGGAATTCTGGGAGTTGAAGTCCACGAGTCATGAGGGACCAAAGTTTCCCCCTTGCTGCCTCAGGAATTCTGGGAGTTGAAGTCCACGAGTCATGAGGGGGCCATAGTTCCCCCATGCTGGCTGAGGAATTCTGGGAGTTGAAGTCCATGAGTCATCAAAGGGCCTAGTTCAGGGGTAGGCAACCTTGGCTCTTTTATGACTGGTGGACTTCAATTCCCAGAATTCCTGAGCCAGCCATGCTGAGGGAAAAGGGAGAGGTTTCCAAGCTGAGCCATGCTGGCTCAGGAATTCTGGGAGTTTAAGTCCACCAGTCATGAGGGGGCCGTACTTCCCCCATGCTGGCTGAGGAATTCTGGGAGTTGAATCCACGAGTCATGAGGGGGACATAGTTCCCCCATGCTGGCTGAGGAATTCTGGGAGTTGAAGTCCACCAGTCATAAAAGAGCCCAGGTTGCCTCCCCCTCCCCCTAGAACTACAGGGGGTGTCCAACTGCCACTAACTTGGGGGTTGAGGAACCCAAGGCATCCACCTCCATGATTCCACCTGGCAGTTCTCTGCCTGGGTCTGGGGGGGCCTGGAGACCAAGCCCAGCCTGGCTGCCCACCTTGTTGATCCAGGGCCCCAAGTTGGGGGAGCATTCGTAGAGACAGGTGTCCTGGATGAAGTGCTTCTTGCATTTATCCGACATGGTCCCGCAGTGGTTCCAGTCGAAATTGTAGAGGTAGGAGGTGTCATCGTGGGCCCCTTGAGTTGTGTTGAGTGTGCAGCAGGCGTTGTCCTTCCAGGGAGAGCACTGGGGGAAGAGAAGCAAAGAGAGAGGCTGGATTGAGCCCAGACGGGTCTGATGTCCTCTTTGGGGTGGGGCATCTTCTCTGAGAAGTTCTCCGGTTCCCACTATGAACCAGCAGCATTCCCAGTCCACCCAGATGTCCCCCTGAAAGTTGAGTTGACTCAGGAAGGTGGGACAGGTGGACATCCACAACGGGGCTCTACTGCTCTTGCTAAAGGTTTCTATACAACAAGGACTGCAGGAACATCCTTCAAGGCTGGTGGGAGCCTACATTTAGGCAAGAAAAACCAAATGTACAGGTTTAGTATAAGGGGTACCTTGCTCAATAGTAGTAACTGTGAGAGGGACCTCGGAGTCCTAGTTAAGGTGACCAACTTTTTTACAATGAGAAGGAGGACATAAATAAATTGAAGGAAAAAAAAGTGAGTCTAATTCATGCGTGTGTGCCGTGCCGTGTTTCGGTAAGAAGTACACAACCGTGCGGCGCACTCTCTCAAAACAATTATCCTGTGCGGAGCGCATGCGTCTCATAATCGCGCCTCGCCGCACAGTACCGAGCCTTGACGACTCGTCATGTCAAATACAAATACGTCACATCACACGCAACGGATCGGATCGGCATCGATCGAATACGGAGATTTACAGCTTCGTCTTCAAATATCGAAAAGGAGGACATGTAGGAGGACAGTTTTCGAGAGAGGACAGAACTTACAAAAGGAGGACTGCCCTCCCTAAAGGAAGACGATTGGTCACCTTATGTGGACAATCACTTAAATAGGAGCCAGCCGTGTGCTGCAGCTGCCATAAAAGCCAACACAGTGCTAGGCTGCATTGAAAGAGGGATAGAATCAAGATCAGGTGAAGGGTTAATACCACTTTACAAGGCCTTGGTAAGGCCACACTTGGAATACGGCATCCAGTTTTGGTCACCACGATGTAAAAAAGATGCTGAGACTCTAGAAAGAGTGCAGAGAAGAGCAACAAAGATGATGAGGGGACTGGAGGCTAAAGCATATAAGGAACGGCTGCTGGAATTGGGTATGTCTAGTTTAATGAAGAGAAGGACGAGGGGGGACATGATAACAGTCTTCCAATATCTCAGGGGCTGCCCCAAAGAAGAGGGAGTCAAGCTCTTCTCCAAAGCGCCTGAAGGCAGGACAAGAAACAACGGGTGGAAACTAACCAAGGAGAGAAGCAACCTGGAACTAAGGACTCCTCAATTTGACCCCCCAGTAACCATTCTAATAGATGGGGTGGGATTCCAGGCGAAAGGAATCCAGAGTCTTCAAGGCCCTTCCCTGCCTCGTTTCTGAGGACCCTCGGAAAGCCAACTGTGGTCAGGTCTCCCCGGTGCCCCTTTGGCCCCGGGCTCGCTACCTGTTTATGCAGTTTATCCTCCGGTCCAGGCTTGGTTTTCTGGTGCTTGGCATCCATGCACACGTTCAGCATAGAATCCTGGGCAACTGCCATCGCCAGGACCAACAGCAGCACCTGCCCCATGGCCAGCATCATCACCCTGCAGGCACAGAGAGAGAGAGAGTTAGTGAGAGTGAGAGTGAAAGTGAGAGAGAGGAGAGAGAGAGAGAGAGAGACAGAGAGAGAGAGAGAAAGAGAGAGAGAGTTAGTGAGAGTGAGAGAGAGTGAGAGAGAGGAGAGACAGAGAGACAGAGAGAGAGAGTTAGTGAGAGTGAGAGAGAGACAGAGAAAGAGACAGAGAGTTAGTGAGAGTGAGAGACAGGAGAGTGAGAGAGAGTGAGAGAGAGGAGAGACAGAGACAGAGAGAGTTAGTGAGAGTGAGAGTGAGACAGAGAAAGAGACAGAGAGAGAGTTAGTGAGAGTGAGAGTGAGAGAGAGGAGAGTGAGAGAGAGGAGAGACAGAGAGAGAGAGAGAGAGAGAGAGAGAGAGAGAGAGAGAGAGAGAGAGAGAGAGAGAGAGAGAGAGAGAGAGAGAGAGAGGAGGGGACCCTGATGGGGCTGGGAGGATTCCCTGACCCACTCCAGGAATAGGGCATCCAGTTTTGGTCCCCACAATATAAAAAAAGATGTTGGAGACTCTGGAAAGAGTGCAGAGAAGAGCAACAAAGATGATCAGGGGGCTGGAGGCTAAAACATATGAAGGACAGTTGCAGGAACTGGGCATGTCTGGTTTAATGAAGAGAAGGATGAGGGGGTGACTTGATAGCAGTCTCCCAATATTTGAGGGGGTCAAGCTATTTTCCAAAACACCAGAAGGCAGGAGAAAAAGCAATGGATGGAAACTAACTAAGGTGAGAAGCAACCTAGAACTAAGGAGAAACTTCCTGACGGTGAGAACAATTAACCAGTGGAACAGCTTTGCCTTCAGAAGTTGTGGGTGCTCCCATCACTGGAGGTTTCCAAGAACAGACAGGACATCCATTCGTCCGAAATGGGATAGGGTCTTCTCACATGAGCAAGGGGTTGGACTAGAAGACCTCCAAGGTCCCTTTCAATCCTGTTATTCTTTATTCCATTCTGCCATTCCAGAGATGCAGTCAGAAACCCACATCCTTGGCCACGTTCAGAAGAGACAACAGCAAGGCAAAGCTCCTACTGCATCCCCTGCCCCCTAGGTTTCTCTCCCCCCCCCCACTCCACAGAGCAGGCCTCAGCAAACAAAACTGGCCCTTTAAAGGCCAGCCCAAGCACAGAAGGAGGGCAGGCAAGGAGGAACTGGGCTCTGGGGGTCTTCCCCCTTTTGTTGAGCTTACGTCAAATTATCTGGAATGGGATGGGGTCTCCTGCTTGAGCAGGGAGTTAGACTAGATGACCTCCAAGGTCCCTCCCAGCTCTGTTGTTCTGTTTGGTCTCAACCCCAAACGTCTAAAGATAGCAGAAACCCTAATAATTTGAAGTTCTTTGAAATTATAGATGGGGGGGCATACCAAAGAGGATTTTGTAATAATAATAATAATAATAATAATAATAATAATAATAATAATAATAATAATGATGATGATGATAATGATGATAATAATGATAATGATAATGATAATAATAATAATAATAATAATAATAATAATAATAATAATAATAATAATAATAATAATAATAATAATAATAATAAAGTTGGAAGGGACCTTGGAGGTCATCTAGTCCAACCCCCCGCTCAGGCAGGAAACCCTATACCATTTCGGACAAATGGCTGTCCAGTCTCCTCTTAAAAACCTCCAGTGATGGGGAAGGAAGGAAGGAAGGCAGGCAGAATAGCAGAATAACAGAGTTGGAAGGGACCTTGGAGGTCATCTAGTCCAACCCCCTGCTTGAGCAGGGAGTTAGACTTGATGATCTCCACGGTCCCTTCCAGCTCTGTTATTCTGTTTGGTCTCGACCCCAAACGTCTAAAGATAGCAGAAATCCTAATCCTTTGAAGTTCTTTGAAATTATAGATTGGGGGGGGGGGGAGCATATGGAAGAGGATTTTGCAATGTCTCTACAGGACCAACCTCCTTCCCCAGTTTGGTTGGGGTTGGGGGTCTTTGCGCCCCTCCCTCCCCCAAGTTATTGACTGCACCCATCCTCTCTTCATTTGGAGTGCAACAGCTGTCAACGCTGCTAACATGGGCTGTTCTTGCTTTGAGAACAGATG